AATTAATTGCTTTAATAGCAAGAAAAAAAAAATCCCTTCTTCCTTGTTTTGTTTTTTCATTTTCTCCAGTTCTTTGTTCGAGACACCAAGAACCTGGAACCATCCACCGTTAACAGCTGGACCCTGACAGAAGCCACTGTGCACTATCCATGTCTATGATTTGTCATTTTACAGATGAGAGAGCCGAATTTTGGCCTGATACGGTGGCTCATGGCTGTAATCCCAGTACTTTGGGAGGCTGAGGTGAGTGGATCACTTGAGGTCAGAGTTTGAGACCAGCCTGGCCAACATGGCAAAACCCTGTCTCTACTAAAAATACAAACATTAGCCAGGCATAATGACACAGGCCTGTAATCCCAGCTACTCCAGAGGCTGAGGCGCAAGAGAATTGCTAGAGCCTGGGAGGTAGAGGGTGCATTGAGCTGAGATTGCGCCACTGCAGTCCAGCCTGGGTGACAGAGTAAGACCCTGTCTCAAAGAGTGAAAGCCAGACTTCAATAAAGAGTAGTCTCTTGGCCAGGTGCACTTTGGGAGGCTGAGGTGGGTGGATCACGAGGTCAGGAGTTCGAGAACAGCCTGGCCAACATAGTGAAACTCCGTTTCTACCAAAAATACAAAAATTAGCTGGGTGTGGTGATGTGTGCCTGCAGTCCCAGCTACTCAGGAGACTGAGGCAGGACAATCACTTGAACCCAGGAGGCTGAGGTTGCAGTAAACAGATTGCGCCACTGCACTCCAGCCTTTGTGACAGTGAGATTCTGTCTCAAAATAAAAGAGTAATCTCTAATTGCTGTTATGATTATTTATTGTTACTATTGACTCCTTTATTCCCATGGACCAGGTTAGGGCTCCATACATACAGTAGGTGCTCATTAAATGCTGGCTAGACTGAGTCAGCCCCTCCATCCTGGCCCCTGAGTCCTCAGAAAAGCAGTGACATCCATGAAAAGGAACTTGAATTGTTTTTTTATTGAGAAGAATTCGGGCTAGAGATGGGAGCATGATGCAAGAGCTACTGGGAAGGGGGAGCTCAGTCTGAAACTGGGGGGCCAGGAGAGGGGGGGACTCTCCCCTTACCCACAGATTGGGGATATGGCCGTCACTCCTCTCCCCTCAGCATAGAAAGAACCTGGTCAGTGAGAATGTCCGCATAAGTGCTCATGGCTGCTGTGCTTTTGCTGTACATGTCCCTGGGGAGAAAGGACAGAGGGTTAGAGGAAGGAGGGGCTGGGGGCCTGGATTCCTGGGTATGAGGGAGGAGGGGCTGGGGTCTGGACTCCAGAGTCTGAGGGAGGAGGAGGGGCTGGGGCCTGGATCCCTGGGTGTGAGGGAGGAGGGGTGGGGGGCCCTGGGTCTGAGGAAGGAGG